TACAGAAAATTAACATAAAATATGTCATGTAATTATAATCGATCCATAACAAATAACAATGTTCACTTCAGTATAAAATTTTATAAATAATATTATATTGAAAATAAAAATACTCTTTTTACGTGGCCTAATGTATATGCTTTGCATACATACATTTGAAAACATACAATAATATGTGTCAAATATACTGTTAAAACATGTTTTTTAAACTTAACGTTTTCTTGGTGTGGTAATTTATATTTCGTACCTTTTTTTCAGAAATATTGAGAATTATGTCAAGTAATCCGAATACTTTCCATAGTTATCAAACTGTTTTTAAGTATTTTGATATATTTCAATTATGCACTAATTACATCGCGTAACGTGGCATGGTCATTTTCCGTAAATAGATTGATTTTTGCACATAAACGTTTTAAATTCTTTGTTGATACAAAGAAAGTGTTTATAACTTATTGTACCTGAAATTAGAATAAACAAGAATAATTATGAAGCGTATTGTTAATGATTCCATATTAGTTGCATATATTTTTTATGCTTATGTACAGTGCACAAATGGGGCATGCTTCCCGCATATTTATCATGCATAAACATCCGACATCGCGCTATACATTACTACTTCCGTTCGGTCGCATTAAACTTTATCTAGCATTAAAGCTCAGTCGTCCATCTTCTTTATCCGAAAGACAGAGATCGTTGATCAGAAAACGAACAGTTAATCATTTTCCGATTACACACGCGCGCGCCTAATCCACGGACCATGTCAAAAGACAATTATTTTACGAATCGTAATGTTGCTTAATTAAAGCTGGCAAGCAATCATGACATCATTCCTGTACATTCATTATTTATAATATTCCCATATACTGAAATAAAGTGAAGCATGACGTTGCAGTTAATTACGCATTCCTGAAATAGTAAAAGGAGTTAAATATAATTGGAGAAAATATGCAGTTTGCACTCCGGCTGTGGTTTGTTCTGACAGAAAATATTCCAGCGTGAAATTCAACTGGCATTTGGTGGCATGACGGTAACTAATTTCAGTAATTATTAAAAGAAAATGTTGCGATATGTGTGACAATGTGTACTATTTTGTGGAACGATCATTTTATCTACCGTTTATATCTGTTCGTTGTATCTATCGTTCACGATATTTAACTTTTCAATATTAACCATGGTATTTATTTCTTTGGTTCTGTTGATATTTCCAAGTTAATATTTATTTTTGAAATGTGCAACTCACCGATTTGGCTGCAACACGTTGATTATAATTCACGATTTGCACTAAATATTTTAAAATTATTATATTTTAACACTAAACCTACCATTAGCGGTTAATTGACCGCCTCTCACATTTTTTATTTTAAAATTGTTCAAATTATGGAGATTTTCTCTTAAGATTGAATCAATTTCTTTATTCAAGTATGCATTATAATAAAAATGGCGGAAGGCTTAAATAAATACAGTGTTTTTATCATTATAAAGTAGCATACGTTAGTTACTTTTAGGGCTCGGTAGGTTTAGTGTTAATAGGCCTGTAACAGAGCATATGACGTATTGCGAACTGTGTTAAAGTAAGCTAAGAGGTCGATTTCTCGAAAGTTAATTTTTCAAAACCTAACTTGTAGAATATTCGTGTTATTGATTCCCGATAAATCCGATATTACGTGAATTGAAACCATTATAGCATTATAGTCTTAAATATCTATACGAACTCTATGTTAAAATTTAATGCTGTTCTTTACACACGTACTCTCTTATTCACTTTGTGGCACATTCTACACGACGAGGTATCTTCCTGGTCTAGATTAAAATTGTAAATTCATTTTCACCCGTAGTATTCAAAAACTTGTCTGTTCATTTAGATTTTTCATTATTTCTTCGAGTAATTTTCCGAATACGTAGCGTTAATCCTTGTGAAGTTATAATCTGATTATAAATAAATGATTTCCTTGCTTATACATATTGGAATATTATCGGAGCTCTTTTCATAAAACTATGAACTCATTATACTTGTAACAAGATTACCGAAGTTCCAGAAATATTTCAAAATCCGATAAAACAATTTAACTGAAAGTGGAAGGTCGAGTGCTCAATTTTATATATTCGCTTGAATTTATACAAGTAAAGGTGTATTATCTATACAGGTGTGAACCAGAATGGGTAGTAAAAACGAGCGGAAGGTAATTCTATGTGAAAAAATACGAACAAAATTTTGGTGTAACATTTTTTTAACCGGAGCTCTGTGTTCGAGAAAGTCGACTTTAAAGTTTGTTCATCTCTGCGAAGGATTTACTTGTTTTCTATTCTTCTACCGCAGTTGTCTCCATCCGAGACAACGTTTACAAATATTGACTATGATGGATAAAAAGCTTAATTATCAGTAGAAACACTCTGTACTGCTTTAACCACACAATAAATAATGATTGTAAACACTATCTCGGATGAAGGACATCTGCGGCAGAAGAGTATATGACAAATAAATCCTTCGCAGAAATGAACAAACTTTAAAATCGACATTCTCGAAAACGGAGCCCCGGATAAAAAAGTGTACCAAATTTTGTTCTTATCTTTTCACGTAGAATTACCTTCTGCTCGATTGTACTACCAATTCCGGTCCACCCCGTATAGAATAAAACCATTGTAGTTTCAGAATCGGTTGTTTCCCATAACAGCTAAATGGTACTGCAGCTTCATCCAATACTGCAAATCTACCTCGAGGCTACAAGATACGTTTTATCAAAACGTTCGTATCGTTATTTTTCATTTTATCTACTGCATGTTTAATTTTTCGGCTCGGCTTTCGATTAATCAACTCCGATAATTCATACGATATCAAAATCATTCATGAAACCGAAACCAGAATGTTAAAATTTACCATAGGACATATTAGTTTAATTCTTTTGTATTCCAAGAGTCCTAGTAAAACATGCTACTAACAGATACTGGTAACAATCCTAGTAAGTTTTAATGATTTTGTTGGACTACAACAGAATCTCGATTATCGGAACCAAAACATGGCACAGCTGTTCGGATGATCGAATAAGTCTATTCCTCTGTTACAGAACGCTGAAGAAATAATCAAAGTTTTGACAATGAAATTTTCGGTTAATAAACATCCCGATAACAGATCGGTTCCATTAAAAGGATAATCCAGGATCCACTGTATAAAGATCTGAACAATGACGAGCAATATCCGCGTTTGTTTCTTTTCACGAACAAAATCAAAAGAGAAACGACGTTCACTTTATACGGGAAACTGATGTTAAAAAGCACGGTGTTTGAAGATAATTTATCCTTTTCTGTGTTTTAAATACGTTGTGTTATTACCTTTATCGTTCTATCTTATTTGACGTGCAACAGTTTTGTAACTCAAATTCTGTTGAATCCGAACAATTGTCCATTAACACTAAACCTGCCACGTGCATAAAATTGGTATTTATTTTCTAATTATTGGAGGGCATATTACTAACTAAAAATAATAGTCATTTTTAGTGATTTGTAGGTTTAGTATCAATTCTTTGAATTAAAAGCTCTCGTCGAAGAAAGACTGTTATAATTAGACTGCAGATTTCAAGCATTTATGACAATAAAGACTAGGTGCAACATAAAATGGTAGACAGATTGAAAGAATATGAAATATGTACCACTTTCAATTTATTAACAATACTAGCCTTTGGCGCTGGGATGTTCCCTCTCAAGGGACGTAACTGAACTGCTGATAGTTCTGGTACATTCAAAATTAACCATTTTCGTTCCATAAAATCTGTATCGATACTATCTTTTATCTTATTTAAACAGCCTAATTATTCCCAACGTGTTCTATCATGTTATACAGGTTTTATTGCACTCCAAATTAATCCTTTTGTAGATCATATTAATCCCTTTTGCCAATTAAAATTAATCATGTCACGGATTAAGATGGGCCTACCTTTGTTCAATTTTTAAACTTGGTACGAATTTATGTACTTAGTATGAAATATAAATTTCGTTAGAAATATTATTTATAAAATATTGTTCGATTGTTAAATTTAACACGCATTTTATTACAAATAATTACAAATAAGTAAATCTAATTTGCAAGAATTAATTCGGATTTACAAAAAGATTAATAACGAGCGCGAAAACTGTATTTTCTTTGAAGCATTGCTTGTTACTTTACGAATAAACACATTCGAGTTTTTGATAAGTGATCCGAGAAAATTCTCCGAGTGCAACGGATTAAAGGAAGAAAAAGTTGCGTTTTTGTTTCTTGGAAACGATGCAAACAACTATTATTTTGCATAAAGATGTAACAGCTGTTAAGTCTTACCGAGTACAATCCACATGACGATGATATTCCCTCCTGTCGCTACCAGCAACATCACAGCAAATATGAGGGACCAAGCTAACTTCTGCCACCAGGGCAGATCAAACGGGCGCTCTTGATGATTCGACACACAGTCTAAAAACTCTTTGTCATGTACGTTTGATCTGTCGAGGATATCCTCCAATACCATCAACAGCTCGGTGCTGTTGAACTTGAACAAAAACGAGATGTTCAGTCCGAACATCATGGCACTGCAATTGTACACACCGTACAACGTCTGATTGTTCATATTTCCTAAGATTATTCACCGCAGCTTTCATAGAAAAATTGATTCCTCTCTATGATAACAGTACTCGATCGAACGGAGTGGTGTCCTCCACGTACGAACGTAAGCCCTTTGTAGATTTTGTCAATTCTATTCGTGTACCATGAATTCTCTTCGTTCATGTATGTTCGTCGAGGGAAATTGAAATATACAGCGGGCTACAGCACGAATGGCGCAATACGAGAAAAATAATGCTCTATAAAAAAGTAAACAAAAAATGTGTGTTAACTAATTTCTTATGCTTCGCTTCGCTTTCATGATAACCGATCCGAAAAATTCGATGAGGAGTTGTACAGATAGGTATCGTTATTAACGAATTTCAAAATTATGGGTAACATTTGATGGAAGCAATTTTAATTGCAATTAAGAGAGAAAACAAAAGCACGGTTATATTACATTACATTGTTTATTATAATCCCAAATATGCGATGTACAACTTTCAGAACGATGTGGTTGATCAAAAGATCTTTATTTAATTAAATTTTGCCAAGATAATACCAAGATAATCTTTATTTGTATTAATTAATTAATGTAGGGTAATACAGTGGTTATGTTCTGTGCAAGAGTAACGTATTTATTATCGAGTTTAAGACTGAGGACCTTTATGCAACATGAAATGTTCTACGTCAATTCCAAAATCATTAAATAAAATGAAAGTGTATTCTTTTAATAATTTTAATAATTTTAATAATTTTAATAATTTTAATAATTTTGATAATTTTAATAATTTTAATCATTTTGATAATTTTAATAATTTTGATAATTTTAATAATTTTGATAATTTAAAAATAATATGAAAATGTTCTTACATTTTTTAGCGTCTTCAAGATTTTATATTTCACCTACACATTTTTGCCACGAATACATTCAATCCACGGTCTATTTAGAAGTATTCTACATTTCAGACGCTCATTGAGAATCAAACATGAGTTTATGCATGAGTATCGAGATTTACATATAACGATAGAAGTTTCAATCTAAACCTGACAAGTGGTGCCTGTGTTTTCAATAACCATTGTTATTTTAGTCCCCCTGTTTCATATTTGAATATGAAAGTGCGAGCATAAGAAAAGGGTCAAATTCGACGAAGAGACCTGTCAGATTAGTACAAACAGAGAAAACTTTGGAACCTCGAAAGGATTTGTTCGTGAAACAGATTTTCGAAGCAGACAAAATTGGAATTTCCATTCAAACTCGATCGTTGTTACCGAATTAAACCGACAAAATTTTTTTCGATTCAGCTATTTGTCCAGGTTGAATGAAATATCGTGGACAAACAAAATAGAAAAACAAACAAACTTTACAAAAGTTCCAATTCATTGGAACGCGATGTGTATCGAACGTGTGATACATTTAAAAGAGGTGTGTGAAAAGTGCATATCTCTCCGTGCGTGAACTATTCGAATTGATTTCAATTTTACGCGTTCGCGCGGAGAGCGTTCCTATAACTTTCCCGACGAACGCGCACAGTCGTTCACCAATCCGGTGTGAGAACACGAACTATCCTAATTGTTCGGTTCGAAGATCGTTAAACTAAGTCGTAGGATCCACCGTGCGGTAGAACCTCGACGGAGATACTGAAGCTTCGAAATCGCATTCATTCAAAGATACGTGCGCAATGACTTGCGCTCTCGCAGTTTCCCTCCTAACACCTATTCTGCGCCCCTCCGATCCACCCCTCTTGCGTAGTTAGTAGTGTCAGCTGATGCGACGTATAAACACGAAAACATCGCCGAAATTAATCACTCTATATTTACCGCGGTTCTAGACCATTTATGCTCACGATCCTCTGATAAAACTCCTTTTCGCAAAAGTATCAGAGCGTTCTTTCAAGAACATGTTGATCCTAAAGCTTACGACTGTTTTATGATATTCACAAAGGTTCCAAATTTTCGTTATTCTTTCTTCGACTTGTAGATCGAAAGATCGTAATTAAGAACAGACCCGTTGAAAACGGTGAGGAACAACATTAATACTTCCGCGACACCCATATGTTGGTGTGACATTCTACCCCACCGATTCACGTACTGTAGTTCCAATTAGATTTCTTCTCCCTCCTCTTATTATTATTATTATTATTATTATTATTATTGTTACGTTCATTATTTATCATTATTGTTATTGTTAATGTTATGTTGTATATCAACGTATTTCCGTTATCTTCTTATCAAACATTCTAAAATCTTCTGCAAACCCATTATTTCATCCTTAACGTCTTCAAACTTAACTTCATCTTGAAACTTTGTTTTATCCTCAACTTCTATCCTTGCAGCATCATATACAAATATTTGCCTATCCGCGTGTTCTTGAAACCTCCGGCCTCACCCTTATAATTCATAAACCACCTAAACAAGTGTACACATAAGGAGAATAGGTATCAATGAAATTTCATCTAATTTGCGTTATTATTATAAATCTAACTTTTATTTATTCTGTATCCTTATAGTACATAGATTATTTAATAAAGAATTCAAACTAATATTTACATTTTTATGGATACAATGCACATTTAACGAAATAATCAGCTATTTGGCGAGGGACAAAAATATTGGACACGTAATAAATTACATGATAAATAAAATGTTCAATAAAGTGAATACTTTGTGTTGCCACCTTTTGCTGGATTACGACTTCTAACCGGCTAGGAATATTGATTATTTCAATGTATATTTTTTCAATATTTTCAAATTCTGACTGCAAATTCCTTAAAAAAATCGGTTTTATTGATTCTTTTATCCAGCGGTATTTTGATGTCTTATAAACTCCATCAGTTTTCCATATTGAAGTCGGGACTTTGTGGAGATCATTCGAACAATGGAATATTCCAATGCTTAAAAAATGTCTCAATTTTGTTGACGACGCGTATATCAGATCGTTCATCAGATCTTTACCACTGTCAATCCCATTTCAAGGAAAACACACCGACACTATTTAAGGATACGTCGTCTTTAACTGTTCACGTAACATACGATTTTTTAAACGCTTCATCCTTTTTCTCGATACTTGATACTTCTTTTTCAATTGCAGCAATTCAAATTTACCTTCACCAGTCCGTATCATGCTTTTCCAAAATGACAATGGCATATTTATACATGTTTGGCAGAAAACAAACGTCTCTTCGTATTAATTTTATCATTAACACTTTGACGGCCGCGCGAGAAACCTCAGGAGTTTTACGAAATTAAAGTATTTAATACAATTGAATTAAAATTGCATAACAAAGTTATATGACATCAGTTACTTTTTTTAGCATTCTTACCTCTTGCAAATCTTAATAAAACTGAGAAACTAGAATGGATTAGCGTGAAAATGAATTTTTAAATAATTCCGTAACTCACATATGGATGACGCGGCAGTCAAAGTGTTAAAATGACTTACGCATAGTCTTGCGGCATGCTAATCCAACTTCGTGTAATTTCCTATTAAAATATTTACATTTTCAATTTATTAACATTACTAGCCTTTAGCGCTGGAATGTCCCTCCTCAAGGGACGTAATTAAACTGCTGATAGTTCTGGTACATTAAAAATTAACCATTTTTATTTCATAAAATCTGTATCGATACAATCTTTTATTTTATTTAGACAGCCTAATTATTTCCAACGTGTTCTATCTTGTTAGACAGGTTTCATTAAAGATATTCATCTCCCTGCATTCCAAATTAATCCTTTTATACATCATATTAATCCCTTTAGCCAATTAAAATTAATCATGTCACGGATTAAGATGGGCCTACCTTTGTTCAATTCTTAAAAACTTGGTACGAATTTATATACNATTAAAATTGCATAACAAAGTTATATGACATCAGTTACTTTTTTTAGCATTCTTACCTCTTGCAAATCTTAATAAAACTGAGAAACTAGAATGGATTAGCGTGAAAATGAATTTTTAAATAATTCCGTAACTCACATATGGATGACGCGGCAGTCAAAGTGTTAAAATGACTTACGCATAGTCTTGCGGCATGCTAATCCAACTTCGTGTAATTTCCTATTAAAATATTTACATTTTCAATTTATTAACATTACTAGCCTTTAGCGCTGGAATGTCCCTCCTCAAGGGACGTAATTAAACTGCTGATAGTTCTGGTACATTAAAAATTAACCATTTTTATTTCATAAAATCTGTATCGATACAATCTTTTATTTTATTTAGACAGCCTAATTATTTCCAACGTGTTCTATCTTGTTAGACAGGTTTCATTAAAGATATTCATCTCCCTGCATTCCAAATTAATCCTTTTATACATCATATTAATCCCTTTAGCCAATTAAAATTAATCATGTCACGGATTAAGATGGGCCTACCTTTGTTCAATTCTTAAAAACTTGGTACGAATTTATATACTTAGTATGAAATATAAATTTCGTTAGAAATATTATTTATAAAATATTATTCGATTGTTAAATTTAATACGCATTTTATTACAAATAATTGCAAACAAGTGAATCTAATTTGCAAGAAGATAAATATGATATGTATGAAAGAATTAATTTGGTGTGCAAAAAGATGAATATGATCTATAGAAAGATTAATTTTGAGCGCGAAAACTGTATTTTCTTTGAAGCATTGCTTGCTACTTTGCGAATAAATGAACGATGACATATTTATATATCTTTTGGTAGAAAACAAACGTCTCTTCGTATTAATTTTATCATTAAAATGATTTACGCATAGCCTTGCGACATGCTAATCCAACTTCGTGCAATTTCCTATTGAAGCGTTTACTCCTAAAGTTTCTGCGAGATTCTCTGACGAAATTGTGTTGGGTCTTGTGGCATTTGCGGACAATTGGACACACAATTTCACTGTGCAATCTTGCACGGTGTTACATCATTTGCGTCCACGAACTCTTTCTACGGTAAAAAATTTTATTCACCCATTTTTGTCTATTGCACTTTTAGGAACGCTATACTTCTGCGTTGTCGCATAGTAAATGAACTTTTTACGGCAGTTCGAAATAATTGCGTATGAACACGACCAATTTGTAAAGATCGTTTACACATTTCTTGCGTTGAGATAACGTTGTTGCTGCCCACTTATTTTTGTCTCTTGACAAGCAGCTAATTATTTCGTTAAACGTCGACAGCGCGCACAAAAATGTTGTAGCGACCGTTCGTATTTACACATACGAATCAAATGAATATAACGTATCAGCAGCTAAAAGAGCTGCCTCGGTGGCGTAAGCAAAACCAAAGTCAGCCGTAGTTCTAGGCTAACGAACGGAGCCGGGGAAAGGTAAACGCGTGTATGAAACCAGACGACGCGTACTGCTCGTGACAGCTGACTCTCTGAACAAGTAAACACACGTATAGGATTTGAGGACGTATTGTGTACTTCGATTATATTTCAATAAAGAATTTAGAAGCAGGCACGCTCTGAGTTATTTGCTTCCGCCAAGAGAGAGACGCCACAATGTAAATATTACTTAATAATTACTTAATAATTATATAATAATATAAATTCGTTTAAATTTTTTTCATTGATCCCTATCTCTTCACTTAATTTTCAACACGCACATAATTTACCGAGATCTACAAAACACATTTTTTACATTTTCGTTATAGGCTCAGATAAAACAGTTAAAAAACGAGAGTTTATTATTTTCTTCTGCCAGCATAAGCAATAGCAAAGTTTTAAAAAAGCATTCTAATTATGGTCTAGTAGACTGGTTCCACTACCATCTAAAAAGATTCAAGTCGTTTAGTCCGGTTCTAAAAAAATTATTGCGTTTTGAAAAGTCTTCGAATATTGACGGGAGTCACTTTACATCGTTTTCTTCAAATCATGAGAATCCTTTTGAATGCACACCTAACAAATTCTTTCCTATCGTACACTCAAAAAGATTGCTGTCAAAAAGTACTGTTAACGTCATCCACGTCCGCTGAATATATTTGAAAATAAAAAGAACTTACACCAATACAAGTATTGCGACATTCTCTGTTCGGAAAAAGAACCCATCAAACTTTTGGAAAATTCTCCATTCGGGACAAGAACCCATCAAACTTTTTAGAAATTCTCCCGTTATGTGACGGCAATGTAATAGCGGGTGACCGAATAATTTTCTCAGATTTCGAAATTCATTTCTGTACTAGTCTATTGTATCTTCCAAATTGTACTAGAATCCATGAAACATATGAATGCTGACAAATTAATCGATGTTATACAATTTAACTTTCCAATTTCGATTTGATTGTATTTTAGGAAATTTTTTAGATTTTGGCATATGGCAGTCAAAGTGTCGATGAAATTAGGCGGTCGATCAAAGCGATATCAGTGAAAATGACGGTGAAATTAATAGAATTGATGAAAACATGTGAACATTGATGTCGGTGAAATTATAGCATCGTTTAAAAGGAAATCGTGGTTCGCGATGAGGAAAGGACCCCTAATATGTGCGATAATATATATTTTATTCGTCTTTCCGTAAATAGCGTCCTTAAGCTTCGATATATGACTTACCACGTTTAGCACAGTCATTTAACGATATTGAAAATTCTTGACAATTTAATAACGTGTGGCTCCCTTTTCACGTTACCTTCAATATTGAATATGGGTTGAAACCGATGATCACATCATTTTACTTCGAACAAGACCGAAGCGGACGGAGAAAGTCATGTGTGACTGGCATGATTCTTTATAGATTCTCGAAAGACAATTTTTGTCATAATTTATCGATATCAAGTTTACTTAGATTTGTAACATCTAAGCGGCTGGAACGTGTAATCGTTACATTAAATTTCGATTTTCCAATTCTTTTGTTGACAAAATTATTTTGCTTCTATGCGTTATTTTGGAATGGTAGTTGAACGTGAACATATCGTTTGACATAAGCATGCCCTTAATCACCGTGCGGCTAAAAGAAGATTTTACAAAATCAATCTTAGTGGTCATAACTTGAAAATGGTTATATCAAAGTACAAATTGTTATCTTTTTTACAGTAGTTAACGTATCCGTCATAAAAAGAGCCATCCACAAATTAGTGCATCCTCTTGGGCCCAAAATGTTTTGTAGTTAAAGTGATTTTTTAAAACGCCGTTTTGTAACTGGAGCACACTTTTTTCAATGTTTATAAGAAATAAGAAGTAAATTTTGTTCGTCTTTCATAACAATCCATGAGATAATTATTTATAGATACCGAAAAATGTTATATTCTTCTGAATAAATAGCAGCACGATTAAAAAGGATTGTGCATGAATGATAATAATAATTGACCATTGGTCACATATTAGAATACTAGAATAATTAGTGTGGAGTGAATAATTAGCACAAGATATATATATATATGATATACAGATAATAATTCTTTTTCTTATATTAATTGTTTGCAGTCAAACATCAACCTTATATATAAGAGGAGCAAAAAATAGAGATAACAAAGTGGATTACAACGTTTCTACCGGAAATTGAAAACGAAATCGCTTGCGGACCTCAAACTGACAGTTTACCACTGCTTCTTTTCACATGGAAATTTGCCAAAACCCCTTTTAATTCTCTGAAAGGTCGAATATAGGAAGAGATCGTTTTTAAAAATACGCTTTCTATGTTCCATCACTTTTAAATAGTCTGCCTCTGGAAAAATTACTCAAACATTTACATAAATAAATTGAATACATTAGATCTACCGGGGAAAGTTCCGTCGGATAATGTCATTTCAAGTTTCAATACATATACACATGTTCATTTAAGACATATATTCTTCAAAAAAAGGTATTTACAAATTGCCATCACGCTGGCAAGAGGTCATATGTAGTAACGACAGAAATTATATTGCACAATAAATATTATTGAATGTATGAAAAATGTATTATTTTCTTTCACTTCGCAAACGGATAAAACTTTCTGGTAGACCTGATATTAACAAGATACAAAATTAACAAAAATCTGTCACAGAATTATGTTTACATTTTAATATTTAAAATTTTTACTTTTTCATGTACTCTTGCAATATAATACTCTTGGAACATCTAAAACCACACTTATAACCGAACTAAAGGCGACTGAAAATTCTTTAGAGGAGAAATCATTATTATTAACAATAGTGTGTCTGTTTAAATTATTAAAAATGAACGCATTTACAAAAATATTACAAAAATAATGTAGAAGTATAATTACTATAACTATGTACTAGTTCATAATAAATAGTTTTATGTCGAGTATTGTTTTAATTGATAAAGTGTAACAATAATTAAGAAGTAATAAATAAGTAGAAGAATTAATAACAAAATTTGAAAAGTCAATATGCCAATAATTTAAAATTTAAATGGTATTTCCCATAGAAGTTAATGCACTGCCATCTATCAAAAATTTGTACGTATTACTGTAATTGAAGTCTGCATATAGTTTGCTTTGCGTGGCTTTGTTTACCGGACTCCAAAATTTATTGAAAATGAAAATTAAAAAAAAATCAAACGCAGTCAGGGTTCCACCTGTGAAGAAAGCTATAAAAATCAAACGCAAATCATTGGATATCGAAGGGGAATCGACAGTATCGAAGGCGTTGAGGAATGTGAAAAAAGTTTTGAAGGTTAGCTATCACGTGTAAAATCATAACCTATACATTACGGAATTTTGTGGAAACTGTATTTAATTTCACAGGACAAAAGTGTAGACTCGACGAAACAGGTTCCAACGTTACAAGTTAAATCACGTAGACGTAGATCAACGAAGAAAATAATCAAAACAAAAGCGAAACCTGCGAAAGGTATAGTCTACTTGGGTCATATTCCTCATGGCTTTTATGAAGAACAAATGAGAAACTATTTTAAACAATTTGGTAATGTAACCAGGGTGCGAGTTTCAAGGTCAAGGAATGTAAGTATATTTTTTAAATTCTGTTGAAGATAAAGTACAGTAATTGTCTAGTGAAAATTTTTGTTCTGAGTGCATGAATGATATTAAATATGATTCCGTAACAAGAGACAATACATTTAAAAATCTACATCAAATAAATTTGCTAACACTAATAGATTTAGACAATTATTACCAGTAGCTTAAAGAGTTACTTTCTATGAACTTATAAATATGTTATCTTATAAACTCTCTAATGCTAACGTAGAATTAATAAAATATAAATGCAAGCAAAATGAAAGTGTAATGGATAGAAATCAGAGTTCTTCTATTTTAGACTGGTAAAAGTCGTGGTTATGGGTATATTGAATTCGAAAATGCAGATGTAGCAAAAATAGCTGCAGAAACAATGAACAACTACCTAATGTGTGGTAGATTAATGAAAGGTACCGTATGAAAACTTTTGTAATTTTGTTCCTAAATAACTAACTACATAATTTATGATAGATAAACTTCAAACGACATTTCATTTTGTTTAGCTACATGTATTCCACCAGAGAAGCAACATTCCCGCTTCTTTATTGGAACTCCATGGACAAGCGAAGATTATCCAAAACTAAGAAATAGAAATACTGCAAATGAATTAAGAGACACAAGCATTACAAATGATAGCAGTTTTGTACAGAGTACAAAAGCAAAACTATCAGCATTAGAAAAGAAATTGAAAGACAAGGGCATTGACCTCAAATTTAAAACAAGTAACTAAAAAGCATGACGATCGCATAAATATTTTTAATGTTAGTTACATAGTTACAGCACGAAATTTAAACTTAAGTATTATAGATGAATTAAATGTAATCTTTTTATATAAAATACTATTTACAGTGATACAGTTACATAAATTTTCTCGAATTTGGAGAAAAGTAGCTGATCAAGAAGCATCTTTTTCTGGAACGTTTCCTGCCCCACCTTTGGTCCTTTTCCACTTCATTCGTCTATTTTGAAACCAAACTTTCACCTAAAAAAGTTATAATTATTTCAAAAAGGTGTTATTATAATAAGTAATAGTATTGAATAATTTAAACTTGTGTTGTTATTAATTTAGGAGAATTCTTGTATTAATTTACCTGACGCTCCGTTAAATCCAATGCGACTGCTATTTCGTAACGACGTAATCGTGTCAGATAATTACTGTGTGCGAATTCATATTCCAGATGCCGAATCTGTTGTTTCGTAAATGCAGTCCTCTCTTTTCGAGGTTTCTCATTGGTTAATCTCTTCCCAGCTTCTGAAATTTATTTAGTTTTTTTAACTTAGTTACTTAATGTTTTATTTCTCATTTAATTGCAGACGACAGTTTTATATCGTTTATCAAGCTCTATCGTCGGGCAGTCCGATTTTTCCCAGAAGTGCATTAGTCCAATAGTAAAGTGCTGTCAGATGATGATCTAATACATCTTTGTTTGAAGTGGCATGAAGAATCCAATGATATGAAAAAATTTGTAGCATTGTATTTTTTAAAAAGGATGAAAAAATGCACTTCTGTAGAAAATTAAAATTCTCGATGGTAAAGTTTGATAGATTGTCATCTTCAATTATTTTCTGTCTATGTATAATGGAAGCAGAGTTATAGCTCAACCTAATTACTAGATTCGCACGATTCATTTTTATACCACAGTAATTTTTACATGATTCACTTTTAGGCCAAAGTAAGATGCAGATATATAGTACCATGATTTTCATGGATCAGTAAAGTATTGCTAATTTCGATATACTGGCAAAATTGCTTAAACATAAAACAAATTTTTTGTTGTCGATAATTATTAATTAGCCACGGATCTCTGTTAATGTGTATCACTCTAGTTAACTGGGTTAATTAACCGTATGATGCAAAAAAGAAATGAAAGTAATCAATTGCATAGAAATTTCCGACAGGATTTGAACATCTCTTTTATTTTTATTGATATGAGAAAATATTTAAAACATCATTTGAATAATTTTTAAGAAGAAACACTACGTAAATAATTGTTGCTCAAATTATTATTTTATAGTTGCGTAATGTTAATGAAAATTGTTATGCATAAATACATATAATAAACATGTATTTTAACATCAACATCACGCTTAACCCGTTCACCAGATCGACGCCATTAGACTTCTTTTTTTTCTTTAGGGAAAGCTAAGAGCCGTCAGTAGGAGCCAACCACTCTGAAAGGAATGGTGAATCATATAATCTTGAGTTTATATTACTATTACAATCTTACAAATTAATCATCCTTTTGTTATTGAAAGTTTTAAAATATCTTCAAGACAACTATTTCTCCAAAATCATGGAAATTTTAGTTTCAATATGTCGTAAACATCTTTCTATATTATTAAAAATATAACAAGTATGTGCAGGTAATGAAATTCTAATTATAAATAGAGCTTGTATATTTATGTTTGTAATATATTATAAACGTCTTATGTGTTCATTGAAAACTTGTTACTTTGCTAGTCATTTCGTCGAACTCGCAGGATTTCATAGGAATGTAGTTTCAGTCGCTCAGCTTGAATGATCCGCAAGATATTGATTGCCAAAGATAAAAAAGAGCCCGTGGGAAATAGTGATTCACCATCTTCCCAACAACGATATTTCCGTATGTTCAGTCAAATTTTTAATTATAATGAAGACATACGATAACATTCTAACAAATATTAATTCTCAATTATTTGACTCTCGAAATTTTTTGTCTCTTACGAAACGAGCGTTATTAAACATAAAACAATTCCAAAAATCTAGCAGCAAAGTATAACTTTCCATTGTACTATGCGAGGCTTGATAATTGATATCAGAGCATAGTAACAATAACACAAACATTTGTTCATTATTCACATTAAGAATTTAGAAGATAAAAGAAACTCGAAAATAAATTTTATAGGAAAAGACGAACGAATTATTACAAAAATCTTCAACACAGAGATCTACAAAATTCTTTATTCTATACACACAAAAAAAATGATCTTCGTGAATTATTATCGCAACTTCTTATTGTGATCAATTTCTGTCTTTTAAAATCTATAATTTCTAAAATTTTGGAATTTATACTTTCTGGAATTTTAGAGTCTATAATTTTAAGGTAAGCCAATTTCAATCTGAGTAATAACGGTTAAGTGTAATTGTAATGTATGCTCTCTTTTTAATGAAAGCGGCAGCGGGCACTGTCGTTTTGTTTAGTGCGGCATCATATTCGATGCGTCATTGACAAGTTGCAGCCGTGGTTGCTGACAAACGTGCCGCTCGCGTAATGGAAGTTGCTGGAATCGTAGGATGATCTGCGATAATGTAGAGAACATGGTCGGATCGCTGGCCAGGCTCTTAGCTTTGCTTCCGTGCCGCTATCACATCCATAATTGCTGACTGACGTCAATCGACAGAGGCTTCGTTACCAGATTTCAACGGTCAATAAGCTATCGAAACCTTTTTTTGACGAGAACATTCAAGTGGATTCGCGGAACAAAGTTGAATTTTATTAAAAATAACAAAAACTTGGACTCGTTAACTTTGACAGTTTTTCGTATTTTGTAGGTCTACTTTCTTTTTTTTATTTCGTTTCTCTTCTTCATCTATTAGAACTTTTATAACGACGGCCAATATGATTTCAAATTTTTTAAATCTCTTTGTGTAATAACGAATTACTTCATGATGATACTTTAAACGGGGTTTACTAAATATGAAAGCCATCTCGTTTCAATCGAAATCAAATTTTATTCTTTTGTTATCAGTATTTAAGCAAAAAAGTTGTTGCAGATGTACAATAAATATAAATTTTCATTTTTTACTAGGATATTATTACGGACAAAGACGTTTTGATCATTGCGGATGTAAACAAAATTATACAGAAACAGATTAATTATTGAGATCATGTAGAAGCTTTTGTAGAAAATTATTAAATAAGTTCCTTCATACATGAAAAATAAAATGAAATTATTTTATTATTTAGAATGATAGAAAATATTCCAATTGACGTAATTTGCGATTGAATCATATTATCGTGATCAAATAAGTTGAAAGTATAGAGTATAATTATTGTTGTTCGATTATCTAGTTTCTAACAATTTAAATTGTCACATGTTTCATTAAGATCTATAGAAAAAACGTGTCCAGAACGGGTGTCCTTAAACGATATGTGTTACTAAATTATAAATGATCCTGAGAGTGTTAAATAAGATCCTGGTATGTGGATTATAATATTTAAGTTTTAAAGCAATATACAGTCTTTCAATATGTCATCATAGATAAGACTTTGAGTCATTACTGTGCAATAATTTTGTATGCTGCCATTACAGAAGTTCCGAACTAGGAAAATATTTAGACTAGCCTGGCTTCATTGTAACCATATTGGCGACAGTGAAGTCATCAAATGAGGTTATTGGAATTTTATTACTAACATACTACCTATTAACAGCGTTCTCTCGTCGCCGATGTTTGTCGCAACCTGCGAATTTTGCCATAAGTGATATTTCGCTTGATCTCCAGGATTCTGCACACCATTTTGAAGGAATGGAACCTCCCATGCTCGAAACATCGTGGTGGTGATCTCACGATCTTGGGTTTTTTCATAAATAATGTCTTGATCCCTGTCCAAATGGTGCTCACCTTCTTTTTCAGTATTTTCGTTGGAATATTGCTCCCACCTTTTTGCATAAAAGAAGAAGTTAGTGATAATATAATATATCATTATAATGCGATATAAAAAAACAAATAAATCGACAAAACATGATAGGTTTTATTAAAATACAATTCGTTGCCTCACTTTTTTTTATTTTCCTACTTTTTTCTTTTATTCATTTAGAATTTCCATTTTATTCTTTTCCCCTAAAAGGAAACAAATTATGGGCGATAATGTGCAACTATGTTCTGTGAATTTAAAAAATTCATCAAAAATTAAACTTCGAAATTGTAACAGAATAATGAAATCAAGGCATGTCGGAACGTCTAAAACTATTATAAAAAAATATGAAAAATGAAAGAGCAATTTTACACAAGTCAAAATGTAGTACGCATTCGAAATTGGAAAAGAGACATTTATTTGCGTACATAAATTATTTAATAGAATTGGTACTGACATACTTTTTACATCATGAAACTTTAAATTCACGTATTGATCAACAAATAAAAGACTTTTGTTGGAGTAAAATATGATTTTCTTCATTAACGGTTTCAATGAATAAAATTATAAGAGTTGATCAACTTCTGCATAAATTCAGTTTTCTAAATTATAAATTTTTATAAGTACTCATGCATTACAAATATTTTATTTTTTATCGTTATAAGCTATTTTCGCTTTGTTCAATTTTGCTAAACATCGACTTGAATTTATAAAATAATATAGGATATCACCAATATATTGTAGCAAACAATAATATTTTGTCTTTACTTTTCATCGTAATCATCATTTCTAAAAAGATGAATTTTAGCAATCTACAATTCCGCATTCTGACTGCATAAACTATAGCAAACACAAAATGACCTGTTCCAATAAATTGGGCAATCAATGTTCGCCATCATTAATAATTATAATGCTGCAATCATCGTTTCGTTAACCGGGTCCCCACCATTATTATAGTTTTGCTTATTCGCTGTATGAACCATGAAAATTATGTGACAGCGTAAAGTGATGGATTATGATGCTGTTCCTGGAATATCACGCTATGTGGTGTAATTTTACAGCAGAACGCGCATGGAACTAATTTGACTTTCATTACACAAAATACGAGTTTACGAACGGCGCACGCATTTGTCGCTAGTAAAGTACATGCTACTTTTCATTTAGTAATAGAAACAGAAGGAATTTCACACAACAGATTTTGCCTACGTGTGTAGTTCGTACATGAATACTATAAATGAAATAAATACTTTATCATGTTAATGATCTTGCATCAAGTTGCTGCAAAGGTTTTCATCCGTTTGTAATGTGTTCGCTACCAAACGACCTGTGTTCGTGAGGTAATTACTGAAACGCTTTCAAAACGATAGAAGACGATTGGAAATAACAGGCAGGTGTAAAATTACTTTTTCGACAAATTACTTTGCACAGAGAAGTGGAAACAAAATTAAAGGGAAATAACACTAAACGAGAAAGAGCGGAGAATGTGCAGGATTTGTGAGGAGGGGGAAGAAACGAAAGTGCATGAGTTGAGAAAATTGGAAGCTGTGAGAAGAGAAATGGGAATTGAAGAATTTTTGAGCACAACGGGAAGTGGGCTGATGAAGATGAAGGGGACAAAGAGGGAGAGAACACGAGAAGGGGGGAATGAGGGGAATAAAAAGGAAAGCGATAAGTAAATACCAAAGAACAGCGATAATTGCACAATAAAGATATAAATATATATAAACAAAAATTGTTATGATTGAACTAGGTAATAAGTGGTGGTTATGTGGATACAATATTGAAATAAAAGAAGTTAGATCCTAAATAATGCTCCTATATCATAGAAAGAAGTCAGATCCTAAATAATGCTCCTATATCATCCTTAATAAATAAATAAATAATTAATTTGCACAGTGATTTAACCCCTTTTAATTTGAGAAAGTTGATACAACAATACTTCGGCATTTTCCAATAAAAAATGTTATTATCTGTTCAAATCTGAAGCACACTATTTTACTCGAATGCTTCATTAGGTATAAAAAAACATTCAAGAGCTATGCATGTTGTTTTCTAATTGCACGCGATATTTACCTGCACATTCGATCATTGTTCTGTTCTGCGCTAAAATGCTGGCTGTTTACAGCATAATGCGAAGTCAAATTAATTTCGCCGGCGACATTCATCGGCGTTGACATATTACAAAAATTCGATAAATTATTCCAAAACTTCCAATTCCCGGGGCAACAGGAACTCTGGAAATTCAGTTGGAGATACGGCGGGACGGGAAGTGTAGTTTCTAAAGTATTTTCCAAAGATACTTCCTCCGGCTGTTCCATCTCGGCTAGAACGGAATGAAATGTTATTCAATAGCTATCAAACGCAACCGTACAAGTTGTTCTTTCGATCCCATCAAGAAGAACGCAATGTAAATAAAATCATTTCTCTGGGAATTGTCGCGTAACCCTTTGCTCTATAAATGCTTGTCATAGCTACGTTGACTAGCACTACGTGGTTGGTAAGAAACTAGATGAGAATGTACGTTAATTGCAATTGCTAAAAATATTGAGAACAGAACACATGAATTTTATTTTTACGTAAATGAAGTAAATGAGATACATATTTAGTAGATTATGTTCGAAATTTTCACAACGAGTTTGACACAATATTATAGTGCAACGGGTTTATATCAGTAGACTGATCTTTATTCTCGTAAATTCTCATTTACGTACGTTATTTTACGAAAATTAGAATCAGAAGAAAATTTTCTTCGTCGACTAAAAGGTTTCTCACTGTGAACAAAGAATAAAAATGCTATTAGACCTTGTTCATTACGTTTTCTTGCATTTGAAAGATCTGCACAAACCATAAATATCAATATTAAATAATCTGTTGAAAGTTACAGAAATTGTTAAATATTAATGTGCTTGTGCTATTTTGCCATAATCTTATAGAAATAACTTTCTTACAATTTGTGTATGTACACAAAATCGAAGTAGAACGTGTGCTTCATTGTTAATAATAATGATTGGATTGTGGACTTTATACATTTTTGACAGAAATGATTGAATGAAAAACAAAATTGTTTCCGACCTGTTGCAATTATTGAAAGAGAAAATACATTTTTATTTATTCTCTGTTTCTGGCAGTCGAGTAGGAGAATTTCTATTTTGCATTAAGATCCGCAATCTAGTGTAGTCATCATTTAATCAGCTTTAAGACAAAGTAATTTGTTAAGATTATTTTGATTAATTTGTTAATGATTGTAATGTAAAAAATATGGGGAAAATACTCCTAGTTATCAATAACAATAATTTAAATATGTTACGAGTTAAATAACTAGATTTCACAAAAGAGGTACAATTCGATTATACCTTTGGAATGAATCATTGATTCTATCTAAAATGCGAAGATCCTCATCCATAATTTGTACATGTCACGTCTAGACCGCGGGCTTTATGCATTTATGACAAAGATGAATAAGTTAAACGCGAAACTGGATGAACGTTAGAAGAATTTAAAGATATTGTTACATTATTTTCAACTTAGTACAATCGTTGAAAAAGAGATAAAACATTTTCAACTAGCTTATGTTTTTTACAATTAATTTAGACAATTTTTATTTTGCGATCTAGTCATGTCGATCACAAAATTTAAAAAAATAGGTAGTGGTAGTTCGACCAAACGATCGGGAAATATTAACGTGCATCATTGTTACTAGAATAGCAGACGCACAAATACGATTGACATTGACAAGTGCGATTTTTAGATTGCTCTAAAATTAAATAGAACTTAATTAAATCTAGAAGATCAATGTGACAAACTTACTTTCCTTCAACTTTTCTATGTTCTGGACGCTTCTTTCACTTTCGACTATTTTGCAACAGCTGGACACATTAAAGGAAACACCACCGTCAGATCGAGCACTACTTGTGAACCGTCTTAGCACTAACTCGGAAATGTCAAACAAGCAGACGTTAAAGCGCTCCGATAGGCTGTTAGAAATCGGGGTAGATGTATGGTTGGAGAACGAGGGAGTCGTGGGAGGAAGGTTGAGGGGGCACGCGGACGTTTTTCTGAAATTCGTCCGAGATTTAGCTTGTCCAAACAGATCTTAATTACTGAGAGAAAGTACGAAGTGAAACATTTATTTCGTCGGTTATTTCGTCTCTATCTGGTTTTCAGTTTATCCGTTAAAGCTTCAATTTCAATTTAACGGTTTCGGTTTGCTGCTTACGATGCTGTGGAGAACGATAATTATTACATCACGGATCTGTATGCATTTATTGCGTGTTCAAATTTTTCAAATGTAGTAAAACCTATAAATTAACGGTCTAATAGCATTTTTATTTCCTTTTTGCAATAAGTAAAAGAGACACTTATTTTTACACTCGAATTTTTGTAAAATCACGTATGAAAATGAAAATTTACATAAAAATCCACAGTCTAATAATTGTAGTAAATCGTATAGAAGTAATTGGATTAAAATATATAGAATTTAATTAATTTATTATGCTTGATACAATTAATAAAATGTACTCGTATATACGTGTATATATGTATGCAATGTTATATTGGATATACGTTTCACAAGCATAAAGCGAATGTTTCTTATACCTCGTATGATGTTAATATATTACAACAATATCTGTTTTATGAATTTACAATAATACCAAAAGAACAAATATATTTGTAGACGACATTTGTTACCATATGCAGACACACAAAACAGTTACGTTTGGAATATTTATATTTCGATTTATTATGTTCTGCATGTATACTTTGTACCCGTGATGATGTGAAAAATTAAGAATACATATTAACATTAATTTTAAAAAAGGCATCAAAGAACTCATTTTAATATTTGAATTTGAATTATTTTTTAAGTTTAATCACTTTCCCGCAATTGACAAGTTTTGAAAATAAATATACACGATAGATCGATGAAAATGGTGTGGGATGAATTACCTAGGAAGATGAACAATCACAAAAAAACTACACATATAAATATATTGTACTATTAGTAAAGAAATGTTATCCTTTATTACAAGTCTATCAAAAAATGAGTATTAGCAGAACATAATTAATACGTATGAGTTGAATCTTTTTAGCATAAATATTCCAATACACTCTTTGTCATTCTTGTAAACATTTTACACCGAAAGCTATTTCTTAAACCTTCTATACTGATGACAGTGAACCGAAAATGTACATTTTCCTGTAGCTTCCCCTAACGGAAATTAAAAAGCACCTATACATCCCACACAAGCAAACACTGATAGATAGCAATATGACTGGAGGCACTAAAATATTGGATTCAAACGAACGTGTTATTTCGAGGTCTTCATAATTATTTATTTATTGAAAACACATTCGACTGCGGCTGTCAGTGGCTATGTATATAAGAAATAATTATAATATCAATTTCGAAAGCAATCCATGTTCATTTGCTGTGAATATCAAAGTTCAAGAGTAATCATATTTTATTAATACGTGGAGCCGTTTCTCAAAGAGCATTTATCATGCGAGGTTTTCCATAAAAAGGTCTTTTTAAGCTCTTTTTAAAAATTCCCCTCTTTAATGGAGCTTTTCAAACCTTCTGCATATGATTCGTTTACCAGCGAATACCACTAGAAACTTTTTCATAAAGTTCATACACAAATTCTAGTTAGCCAAGAATGTAACAAACGATAATACTGGTAATACTGGATTGATTTTTTAATTATTCAATTATTGTGAATATTCTCACAAATTTGCAGTTCTGTTTTATCTAAGGTTTCCCAAAATTTCTAAGTGGAGTTTGTGCAACTCTACGTAGTTTATTTAAATTTGTATAATTAATTTGTATAATGTGGAGTGGATAACATGGATTACATAATTGTTACAATATCTTACAAGTGTACTTAACGATATTTAAAATTCGCATGTTTAAAAAAGAAAGTAGCATATGGGTAGTGTACAACTTAAATATGAAAAGTGGCAAAGAAAATTTTCATACGTATTAAATCAATAAGAATAAATTCAAAGCTTTTTGAACACTCAACTTCAGCGATCCATTTGCAAATACAGTAAATTCTCTCTAATTGACGCTCGCGGATTGTGCGCAAAAATTGATAATTTAGAAAAAGGAGATATGATTATTTAAGCTTTGGGGCTTGTTTTTATACTTTCCGATTATCAACAACTATAAAAAGGCTCAAATGATCGTATTATCTCGTCTTTCTAAATTATCCATTTTTGTGCACAATCCGAGCATCAATTAGGGAGAAATTACTGTAATTAGAAATTTCATATTGCGCAACCCAATATTAGCCCAGATACAATCTGTGAGCAGTGTACGCAAAACATACACCCAGTTCGTCTGTGTCGTCTGTTATAAATATGGACAGAGCTTCAAAGGCAAATGCTAAAGATGCGCAAACGAACGCCGAATAGTATCTGCAAAAGCATTTACAGAAATTAATTATAAAAAGCAACATCAAATTGATCTAGGTATATACAATTGATATGTATAATTGTATAACTTGTTTGACATTGGCAGTTAACATACGCTTTATAAATGAATTATATATTGAGACCACCATAATGTAATCCTGACATTGATATAACTCGACCCTGAACTTAAAAGTTCGAGGTCAGAAATCCAGAAATATTTTCTTTGCATTGTTTTCTACTTGTCACGAAGATCGGCTTTGCAAAATTTAAATTTGTGTAAATAAGTAACGTAATTTTAGGCAAATAAGAAAAAGCTTTGAGGGCAAGTTACTCGAAAAGTCAATTTGAGGGCAAGTTACTCACGTCATGACGTAAAATTTTGCGACACCCTGTACGCTGTGAAAGATGAAACGTAGGTGCAGTCATGTTTGACACGGGAGTAAAATTGAAAAAGCTTTGGTTACAGACAAATAAAACCATACAACGTATGTATTATTTTCTATAGAATCGTTATCGATTATGACGCGCGTGTATTTCACATCGATTCACTAGCTCGCAGTGCTATCTCAGGAAGGTTTTGGCTCAGATTTAAATTCGATAAAGTAGTTTTTTAATTCTTCGTCACTTCCAAAGTCGTGCGGTGCAAACCTTTGTTTGGAATGCAGAAAAATCCTGGTAATCTCTGGATGCGTGGTCAGGGAGCTGTAAGGCGTGTGATTAAAAATTTCGTTGTGAAGTTACTGCAATCCTTGAACCGTTCCCAGATGATTTAAATCACGGACAGTGGAATTTTCTAAAGTAAACTTAACAGTTGATAAAATTTCCTGTCTATTTCATTTTATTTAAAAATGCGCTTTGTATAACATTTGTATAATATCAAATGAAATATTTTCAATAATATAAA